TCACTGCTCACAGCAACCTTCAACTCCTGGGCTCAAGCGAGTCTCCTGCCTCAGCCTCCCAAGTAGCTGGGACCACAGGCGCCCGCCACAACGCCCAGCTATTTTTTGGGTGCAGCCATTATTGTTGTTTGGTGGGTCCGGGCTGGATTCGAACCCGCCACCTTAGGTGTATGTGGCTGGTGCCTTAGCCGCTTGAGCCACAGGCGCCGAGCCTGGACCTATTTTTTTAAAAAACTCCATAGTGCTTTACAGGAATGGTCTAAATTTGATTACACCCTTGGAAAGAGGAATAGGATATATATTTAATTCACCAGAGTTAAAGTGTTTCACATGAAGCATAAGTATGACTTTAAACTTCTGTGTCATCAAAGTAAAAGGGCTGTTACATATTCACAAAGTGGTTCACGTAGATACGTTCCTACAAGGATACAAGTCAAGGTTCCAATTACCTCCAGTGAATTTTCAGGCTGTGATGAAAGCAACTGGAATAAGTCTTCCAGAAAGAAAGATGTATCTGTCCCATTTAGACGTCTCTATAGAAAAACAAAAGGTACATCATACTTCATGTAAAAGACTGAAGTGGCTGCCTGGGGCTTTAGAATCCATTTTTAAAGGATGCTCAGGTCTTACTTCCATGATGGGCTTTTAATCCCTGTTTTGTTCCTTAATTTGAAGTTTGTTTGTTTTTTTTCTGAGACTGAGTCTCAATAATATGTTGCCCTGAGTGGAGTGCCGTGGCGTCAGCTCACAGCAACCTCAAACTCTTAGACTTAAGTGATTCTCTTGCCTCAGCTTCGCAAGTAGCTGGGACAACAGACGCCTGCCACAATGCCAGGCTATTTTTTGTTGCAGTTGTCATTGTTTAGCTGGCCCTGGCTGGGTTAGAACCTGCCAGCCTCAGTGTATGTGGCTGGCACCATAACCACTGTGCTATGGGTGCCGAGCCTTTAATTCGAAGTTTCACATTATTATTTCTCTTACTCTAGTATTCTTAGTATTTTAACATGCACACTTTTTTTTTTCCTTAAAGACAAGGTCTGACGCTGTTGCCCAGGCTGAAGTATAACGAATAGATAGGTCTCTGCAGCCTCAAATTAAACACCAGTATCCTCCTACCTCAGCCCCCTGAGTAGCTAGGACTACAGGTGCCTGCCATCATTCTTAGCTAATTTTTTGAAGAGATAAGAGTCTTGCTATGTTGCCTAATACGGTCTCAAATTCCTGGCCTCAAGAGATCCTTCTGCTAGGGCCTCTCAAAGCTCCAGGACTACCTGAGCCACTGTGCCTATGTATACTTAATCAGAACATGGGGAGAAATGAAGTAAAAAAAAGCTAATCAGTACTTCTATTCCTGCTCTGTCCATCTTCCACATCACTTTGGGCTAGTATTTTTAGTATTTCACTTTGTTTTGTCCTTCCACAGCTAGCCCCTCCCAATTAGTTATAAAATTATGTTTACAATCAATACTTACAAATGTTTACCCAAATGTTTTACCAACTTAACATTACTTCATCTCTTTCTTGCTTCTGTGGTTTAGCTTTTAATTTTCTGGATTTTTACTTTTTTTGAGACAGAGTCTTTCTTTGTTGCCCTGGGTAGAGTGCGTTAGTGTCATAGCACACAGGAACCTCATACTCTTGGGCTTAAGTGATCCTCTTGTCTCAGCCTCCAGGGTAGCTGGGACTGCAGGTATCCACTACAATGCCCAGCTACTTATTCTATTTTTAGTAGAGATGAGGTCTCACTCTTGATCAGGCTGGTCTCAAAACTTCTAAGCTTAAGCAATCTGCCTGCCTCAGCCTCCCAGAGTGCTAAGATTAGAAGTGTGAACCACCATGCCCAGCCTTCTTTATTGTTGAATTAACTCCTTTGAGACTTCTTTGGAGAGTAGATCTAAGTAGTAAATTCCCTTTGCTTTTGTTATCTAGACTTACTAGTTAGTTAATTGCTAAAAATATCAAAATATCAGGTTTAATGTTTTCTCAGTTCTTTGTCTTACAGAATTTATTACTATGGATAAGTTTGTTCTCGGTATTATTTATAGTGAGTCTCAGGTAATTTAAAAAGATTTTTTCAGGGTGCCTATAGCTCAGTGGCTAGGGTGTTGGCCACATGCTCTGGGGCTGGTAGGTTCAAACCCAGCCTGGGCCTGCTAAACAAAACAAAAAAAAATAGCCAGGTGTTGTAAGGGCACCTGTAGTCCCAGCTACTAGGGAGGCTGAGGCAAGAGAATCGCTTGAGCCCAAGAGTTTGAGGTTGCTGTGAGCTGTGATGCCATGGCACTCTACCGAGGGTGACAAAGTGAGACTCTGTCTCAATAAAGAAAGATTTTTTAGGTGACTTTTCCTTTTCGATGTTCTATTTCACTTTGATATGTATGGGACTTTATTTTTATTTACTTTGCTTGGGACTCTGGGTACTCCTTTAATCTGAGGACTAATAAAATTCTGAAACTACTGTGCCATAAACTCATTTTAAATATTGCTTTTCTTTCCTATTATCTAGTTTTTCCTTCTGGTGCTCTTATTAGATGTAACTTAGATTTCCTCATCCTGTCATTATCTCTGTTTTTATTTCACATTTTGCATCCTCTGCCTTATGTCCTGAGTAACTTTCTTAATACTGTCTTCCATTTTACCCTTTTCTTTCGTCATGTCTAATCTGCTATTCACCTTTCCACTCTTTTGAAATAACACAAGTATATTTTCTCTACTTAGGATTTCATTTGGGCTCTTTTCTGTTCATAATCTGTTCTTGCTTTATAGATTATTTGTTCTTGCCTTATAGATTCTGTTCCCTTCACCTTGAACAATTTAAACACTGACATTTTTTGCATATACTGGCTATTTATTTCCTTGTCATTTTTAAAAGGCGAAATTTGTTGGAAGTTGTTTCTGTAGGAATACTCAGGAATTACCAAATGTAAGAAAGTTTTGCATTTTTTTCTGTGCAAGGATCAGTGTTTATATCTTCTTAGACCTTAGTTTCTTAACCAGGATTCCTGATGGTGATGGTCATGTGGGTTCAGACTCTATATCTAGCTCTAGGGCTGACTGCTAATGGATGGATAGAATTCTCTCAGTCCCCATTTCCTAGATTCTCTTCTAGAGTTGTCACCTGAAAGAATGGAATTGCCAGGGATTTACTGAACCAACAATTCATTTCTGTTTTAATTCCATGTTTTTGAGACAGAGTCTCAAGGTGTAGCCCTGGGTAGAGTGGCATAGCGTTACAGCTCACAGCAACCTCAAACTTTTGGACTTAAGCAATTCTCTTGCCTCAGCCTCCCAAATAGCTGGAACTATAGGTGCCCACCACAATGCCTGGCTATTTTTTGTTGTTGTAGTTGTAGTTGTCATTGTTGTTTGGCAGGCCCGAGCTGGATTCAAACCCACCAGCTCCAATGTATGTGACTGGTGCCCTAACTGCTGAGCTACAGGCACCGAGCCTGTTTTATTTCAACAAACTGTAAAAGCACCTAATAAGCAGTATCTTGATAAAAAAGCAGATGATGAATGTATTGTCAGAGGTACTATAAGAAATGTATAGTTTGCACTACACAAAGATGTGATGTGAATATCGACTAGACACGTGGATAACAGAGGTACACAGGAAAAGCTGAGCCTGATTAAGAGCTGAGGCACAGATGCTACTTTGTGTGACTGATGTGTTTCTGAAAAGTTCTGCCCAAAATGATGTTTGTCTTACATTAAATCTATTTTAAATTCTCTCCAAGGGGCTGGTGTGGTTCACTCAGGCCTATAATTCTAGCATTCTGAGAGGCCCAGGCAGGAGGATCCCTTGAGCTCAGGATTTCCAGACCAGCTTGAGCAAGTGTGAGACTTATCTGTACTAAAAGCAAAACAATTATTTGGGCATTGTGCTGGATGCTTGTAGCCCCAGCTACACAGGAAGCTGAGGAAGGAGGATTGCTTGAACCCAAGATTGCTGTGAGCTAGGCTGATGCCATGGCACTTGAGACTTGGCAATAGAATGAGACTGTGTCTCAAAAATTCTCGCCTTGGCGCCAGTAGCTCAGTGGCTAGGGTGCCAGCCAGATACACTGGAGCTGGTGGGTTCAAACCCAGCCTAGGCCTGTCAAACAACAATGACAACTACAACAACAATTAAAAAAAAAAAATAGCCAGGCATTGTGGTGGGTGCCTGTAGTCCCAGCTAATTGGGAGGTTAAGGCAAGAGAACTGCTTAAGCCCAAGAGTTTGAGGTTTTTGTAAGCTGTGATGCCACCGCACTCTACTGAGAGTGACATAGTGAGACTACTTCTCAAAAAAAAAATCTCTAGCTCAGTGGGTAGGGCACCAGCCACATATACCCAGGCTGATGGGTTTGAGCCCAGCCTGGGCCTACTAAACAATGACAACTGCTACAAAAAATAGCCAGGCATTGTGGCAGGCACCTGTAGTCCTAGCTACTTGGGAGGCTGAGGGCAAGAGAATCACTTAAGCCCAGGACTTTAAGGTTGCTGTGAGCAGTGACACCACAGCACTCTACTGAGGGTGATATAGTGAAACTACCCCCCACCCCCACCAAAAAAATTCCCCATCTAAAAATTCTCTACTTCATCTATCTCCTCATTAATATTTAATGAGTACGTATTATGTGTCCAACAGTCAATCAGTTACTACAGGTAATTTAAAGAAGTAGAGAAATCAGTTCTTGATTCTCTGAGAAGCCTGGTGAGGGAGTAAAGGCAAAGATATACTCAGAAGGAAAACTAACCAATAGCATAAGGTAGTAGCCAACTCAACATTAAGGAAGTGGTAGAGAGGCTATGGTAAAAACATCATCTCCCTCAAAGCAGATGAACTGTGAGGCACTCAGCAAAGTAAGTGGAAATGCTTCCTACAAAATAAATATAGTTCTTTCAGTATTTTAATATAAAAGTTCATAGGCACTGATTTGACATTATGGTGCATGGGGGGCGGTGGTAAAGCCACACCAAGGGGACCTGAATTATGAGGACATGTAAAGACTAGGTAAGTAAGGAGAGCTGGGGACAATGGCAGCTGGAAAACACAGCCAGCTACTTCTGCATATTTTTTTTTTGGAGACAGAGTCTCACTTTGTCACCCTCAGTAGAGTGCCATAGCATCACTGTTCACAGCAACCTCAAACTCTTGGGCTTAGGCAATGCTCTTGCCTCGGGCCTCCCAAGTAGCTGGGACTACAGGCACCTGCCACCCTTGGTATTTAGGGCCAGCATCCTACTCACTGAGCCACAGGCGCCACCCTACTTCTGCATTTTAAAGTGAAAAGCTAGGCTGTGACTGGAGGTTATAAAAGAGGATTGAACCTGCAGAAGGTTGGGAGTGAAAATGAAAGGACTTCTCAGGGTGAGCTCTCAGCCCCTCCCACTTTCCCTAAAGAATGACAAGAAGGATCTCCAGGAGACCACTTAGAACTTGGTGTGTGCTCCCTGCAGTTTGGGGACTGAATCACTTAGTGCCCCACTCTTGTCTGAGAGATACAGAGGCCAAGAAGAGGCCAGTATGGGCTGTGATTCAGGAAGACGTTGAAGTGATCCAGAGTGTAAAGGGCATGTTTTCAGGGCCAGATGCTAGATAGCCAGCAAGTGACCGAGGGGGCCACCTACCACTGTGTATTCAGGAAGGGTCCTAAAGGACCAGCTGGGAGGTGGAGATGGATCTATCCTTGTCAAGAGAAAGGCAGGTGAAGGACTCCCAAGCTGTGGGGGCAGGGGTCTCTAAAGAACCTACTAAATACAAGTGCCCATCCCACAGAGAGTTTTATTTAAATATATCCCACAGTCAATGGAAACAATGTCACACAGGTGCCAATCAAAGAGCACTTTTTCTGGGTGCTAACTCCATAGAAAGCAGCCTAACTTGAAGAATTGGGGAAATAGAGGAGCATACCCTTCCACTTGCTAGAACCTGCTAGCAAGTTCTCAGAGGGATGTTTGTACATATTCCTTGAGGCTGAAGCAGACTAGATGGAGGAGGGAAGCAGGTGAATTTTACTTAAATTTTTGCAAATTACATTGGATTATTTTTATCAATTGATGCACTGAGATGATCAGAGGCATTTTTTTTTTTTTGAGACAGAGCCTCAAGCTGTCCCCCTGGGTAGAGTGCCATGGCATTACAGCTCACAGCAACCTCCAACTCCTGGGCTCAAGCGAGTCTCTTGCCTCCGCCTCCCAAGTAGCTGGGACCACAGGCGCCCGCCACAACGCCCGGCTATTTTTTTTTTTTTTTGGTTGCAGCCGTCATTGTTGTTTGGCGGGTCCGGGCTGGGGATTTGAACCCGCCACCTTAGGTGTACATGGCTGGCGCCTTAGCCGGTTGAGCTATAGGCGCCGAGCCATCAGAGGCATTTTTATCTGAGTCTCTAGAAGTCACAGGGCCTATCCTAGATTTAACCCAAAGTGTAGGGGAAAACTAGTTCCCTCAGAATAGGTTAGAACGGGCTAGAGATGCGGGTAGACAGAACAAAGCTGTTTCTGATTTCAGTCCATAAAATCAAGTAATGTTTGAAGGGATAATATATGGTCAAGGCTACCATGACGATGTCTGTCTGAGAAGGACCAAGGCATAGTACTCTTCCATCCCCCAAAGGTGCTCAAGGCACAGACCCAAACTCTACTTTTTGAGGAAGGAACCTGCTGAAGTAGGCCATGGTTAAGAGAATCATCAGGCAAAATTTTCAAGGGTATGCCTTGCAGGTGGAAGTGCCATGTGGTTAAAGGTCTGTGGAAATCTAAGCCTATCTCCAGAGCACCTGTTCGCTAGGCTTATGGGCAGGGCTTCAGCAGCAGGGCTGAGTGGAAACTAAAGTATAGCCCAAGTGAAAAAAAGGGAAGGCACAGGCTGTGAGATAATCCATCCAAATGGCTCCTGGAGTTATCTTTCTATACCTCTTCTCACAGTTAATGAGTGTGGCTACAGAATGAGCCCAGAAGGTGGTCCCACTAGGCCTGGACCTTAGACTACGCTCTGGGATGCCCAGTGGTTCAGCTTGGCCTGCTGGAGAACTGAACAAAGATTTGAGTGCAAGCCTTGCTTGGAATCATGGGTGATCTGCCTCTGGCTTGCTCTTTGAGACCTGGCCAGCCTGGCTGCTGTTCAGGTGGCTGGTTGAAGATTTGTAGGTTCAGCATACCCACCATCTCTTGCTTGGCAAACATAGCTAGCCCAATCTGCTAGCAAGTTCTGGGAGGGATGTGTGTACAGAGTTTAATCAGAGAAGACAACTTTTAGGGGCTGATTCATTTGTAAATCAAATTATTTTGATTACCACAACTTAAAGAACTGTGTATCTTTATATATGAGAGTTGTTGGCTTGACACTCATAGCACAGTGGTTAGGGTGCCAGCCACATACACCGGGACTGGTGGGTTCAAACCCAGCTCTGGCCTGCCAAACAACAATGACAACCAACAACAACAAAAAATAGCCAGGTGTTGTGGTGGGCACCTGTAGTCCCAGCTACTTCGGAGACTGAGGCAAGAGAATCGCGTGAGCCCAAGAGTTGGAGGTTGCTGTGAGCTGCGATACCACAGCACTCTACTGAGGACAACATAGTGACACTCTGTCTCAAAAAAAAAAAAAAAGAGAGATTTGCTAAAAGAGCACAATTAACACGCTCATTCTCAACACACATTGTCAATGCCACGAAATCTACATTAAGGCTAACAGGACAAGGCTGGATATGTGGACACGCTTACCTCATGTATAGATTCAGTGCTCCCTTCTGCCTCCCAGTCAACTTTATCTATTTTGTTTTCATCGTCATTATTCTGCTGTAGTGATTTCTCCTTCCTGGCTGACACACTTTCTTCATTTTCTTCATGCCGTGAATTGTGATCTGCAGCTTCACACTTCTCTCTTAGTACCTCATTCTCCTGTAAAAGTACCCCCAAAAATGTGCTCAGTAGAAGTCCCTATTTCATCAAAGGGGTAAGTCTTTAAAACTGCCTTGTACTTACTGTTCAGTGACCATGAGAACCGGCAAGTCAAAAGCTAACACTGACAATTCATATTTCAGTATCAAAGAAACATTTAATTCTGAAACAAAGGTCCATTTTATGTCCCGGCTCTGAGATAGCCTGTTCTAAATCTGCAGAATTTAAATTATATGCATTTATAAGGCCCCTGAATTGAAAATAGTTGCAAGTTAGATTAGATTTGGAAATGACTACTGCCAGCAGGCAGTCTTTTATTTAGTTTTGTTGAAAACAGATCAAACAGCTAAGTTGGAAGAAAACACTGATTCACTATACACAGACAAATCTGGAAAGTATTACCAACTACTAACTGTGGTTCTCAGTAAGGTGGTGAACGGGCTAGAGATAAGTGGGAAAGAGTTGACTTCACATCTTATACTTCTATAACTATTTGAATATTTTATAAAAAGCATGTACTCTTTTACAGTCAGAAAAATGGTAACTATATTTTTATTTTGAGAAATTACTATCTCCACAGATATATGCTTATTTACCCAGATGAGTCTTCACCTTTTCATTTACTTTGTAACTAAGGAGACTTAAATAATTAAAAGGCTAGGGAATTCCTCTAAACATTCAAATATAATTACCATTTAGCATGGATTGTATCTACTAATAATACTTTCAAATAATGATATTAAAAGCTCTTTGTTAGCTCGGCATCTATAGCTCAAGTGGGTAAGGCAACCAGCCACATACACCAGAGCTGGTAGGTTTGAATCCAGCCTGGGCCTGCCAAACAACAATGACAACTACAACCAAAAAATAACCAGGCGCTGTGGCAGGCACCTGTAGTCCCAGCTACTTGGGAGGCTGAGGCAAGAGAATTGCCTAAGCCCAGGAGTTGGAGGTTGCTGTGAGCTGTGACGCCGTGGCACTCTACCCAGGGCGACAGCTTGAGGCTGTGTCTCAAAAATAAATAAATAAAAAATAATAGCTCTTTGTGCATAATTTTTTCCTCTAGCATCAAAGTCTTTCAAACTCGTTCAAAGCCTCTATGTTTTATAAGTTTCTGACTACTACCAGGAAAATGGCACACTGGACTAACTCAAAGACAGCACCCCTTTCCCACCAAACCACAGAAAAAGTTTCATGAAAAATGTAGGATTTGTAGGGCGGCTGAAAGGAGTAGGGTGCTGGCCCCATATGCCGGAGGTGGCGGGTTCAAACCCAGCCCTGGCCAAAAACAGAAAAAAAAAGGTAGGAATCGTCAAATAAATAGAAATACACAGATGCCAGAAATAAGGAGAGAAATCAAAGCAAGAACAGGAAAAGGAAATGGATGTCCTGGTGGCCCACTGGTTTTACTTGCTTTTCTATCTATGTGTCTGTACCTAACTTGCAGCACGCTGCCTTCCTTTCCAAAACGGTGGATGACTGTCTCATTTATCGCTCAGTCTCTCTATTTGCACACTCCATCGTAACCCTGCTCATGCACTCAAAATGTTGCTCCTGCTACTCTTCCCTGACTCTTGTGTCAAATCCCTTCAGTCCACTAACAGGCACTAATACTTCCTATTTAAAAAAAAAAAATCAAAGGGCGGTGCCTGTAGCTCAAAGGAGTAGGGCGCCGGACACATACCGGAGGTGGCGGGTTCAAATCCAGCCCCAGCCAAAAACTGCAAACAAACAAAAAACTCAGGGCAGTGCTTGTAGCTCAAAGGAGTGCTTTGAGGCGCTGGACACATATTCTGGAGGTGGCGGGTTCAAATCCAGCCTCAGCCAAAAACTGCAAACAAACAAATAAAAAACTCAGGGCAGCGCTTGTAGCTCAAAGGAGTAGGGCACTGGCCCCATATGCCTGAGGTGGCAGGTTCAAACCCAGCCCCGGCCAAAAACTGCAAATAAATAAATAAATAAATGAATAAAAAATCTCAAACTTTCTTGGTCCCACATTACTCTTTAGATCCCATATCATTTTTCTGCTCCTGTTTAAAGCAAAATCCTCCAGAGTTATCTGGACTCAGTGAGTTGTCTTTTGAACCTATTCCAACCAGGACTCTGTTCCTACCACTCAAACAGTTCATCAAATCCAGCAATTCTCTGTTCTCATCTTATTTGACCCTTCAGTAGAATATGACTTAGTTACCACCTCCTCTTGGAAACAGCTTCTTCATCTTGCACCCAACAATCCCTTTATGCTCCTGCTTCACCAAGGACTTCTGCTTTGCTGATTCCTCACTTCTAGGATCTTAAATACCTACTAAGCACTCTCCCACTCTGCAGCCCTGGCGTTTGCTGCTCTTCCTGCCTGTAAGGCTCCCTCTGTCTCCCACTTCCCCTCTTCGGGTCTCTCTTCAAATATTTACCATCTTCTTTCTTTACCCCTTTTTATATTAAAAAGTACCATTCTCATCAATATCCATCTCCTTTATCTTGCATTTTTTTCCTACAGCATTTAGGACCAGCCGATACATTATTTTGTTTGCTGTCTGCCCCACTAGAATAATGGTTTCTTGAGGGCAAGGACTCTGCTTGAGTCCTGCTGTATACCCATTGCCTATCCCAGAGCTTAGCACATAATAGACCCTTATTAGAAATTTGAAGAATAGCAAAACTCTTAGATGTAATATCCTACGACTTTGGTAGGGATCCTACTCTGATGGATTGTTCTTTCCTGCAGTGACAGTACTGATTCCTCTCTAAATTAGGCGAGGAAAGGAAAAGGTGTCAGATAACTACTCTTTTTGCTTCTCATCTTTTGCCAAGGCAAGTTTTCTTTTGATTATCTTCTAACTCTGAAGATAATCAAATTCAAAATTCTAGGCAGGGTTGGGTGGCTGATACCTATAATCCCAGCACTCTGGGAGGCCAAGGTGGGTGGATTGCAAGAGCAATATCCCATCTCTTTTTTTTGAGACAGACCCTCAAGCCATCCCCCTGGGTAGAGTGCCATAGCATTACACCTCACAGCAACCTCCAGCTCTGGGCTCAAGTGTGTCTCCTGCCTCAGCCTCCCAAGTAGCTGGGACCACAGGAGCTCACCACAATGCCTGGCTATTTTTTTTTTT